ACAATCAGCTATACATGCTCTCCAAAGGTCGGCAGTATAGTGAATAATGTGATTTTACTCTCAAAAAAAATGCTTCTGATTAACCTTTCTGTGTAGTAAACAAAGGAAACAGAAGCTGAAGTCATAGAAACTGGCCTAAACCAATTTTCTCATACTTTAAACATAAACAATTATTAGGCATTATAAAAAGAATTAACACATACATTGATAGATAACTGAAGTACAATGTGGTACCATTCTAAAATGTAAACTCTTAACATAAAATAATTTCCTTTGTACATGAAAACAGACTGCAGATATATCAATTTCATTCAATTACACTATAACTATGATAAATATATTTTGCTTCACCTATTGCTCAATAAAATATCAGTTTGTTGGGTGCCTTATTAGGATGGGCAGTGTGCTAGTTGCTGGATTCTGAAATGATGAAGCTATGTCCCTATCCCTAAGAGCTTCTAGTTATGTGAGGAAGACAGACATTTATAAAATATTTATACAATGGGATGCTCACTACCAGAAGACTGTACTCTTGAGTTATTTTCAGCAACCTTGTTACATTTGAACCCAATAGCTTAATTTGTTGAGCTAGTTAGGTATTATGGTTGGAAATGTTGTCAATGGTAATGAAATGAAAAAAGCTCCCTGGCCCATAAGCTATTTATGACCCTGTTTCATGAAAATATCATTCTCTATCCAACTAACACCATAAATGAATCTCCAGATTTAAATAGTTACCATCATAGGCTGGTCTCTATTAATTGCTAAGAAAATTGTCCTCTTATTGACTACTTCTTATTATATAACTGCTTTGGTTACTAGTTTTGGTTTACATTTTAAAATCTTTTGTAGAGTATTTTTAAAAATTTGAAAACTACATAAAATAACAAAAGATTGACATTAAAGTTTACTTTAGAATTCCTCACTCAGAAAATGATTATGATTGTGTGAGAAAGCAAGTAGAGCTCTAGCATTGGTGGGATTTACAAAAGCTAAAGAGATAGATGAGAGAATGAGAGGTCTTAATTTTTAAGTACACTGGGAATAGACAGTGAGGCACTGTCCAAATGTGAAATAGATTCTGCAATGCTAGTCAGGCTCAATCCACCAAAAAAAAAAAAAAAAAAAAAAGAAGAAAGAAAGAAAAGAAAAGAAAAAAGCAAGGGATAGATTCTCTGAGGCAACTGTATAAGGAACAGGTATGTAATCCAGCCTTTGTGGGAAATGAAAATGAGAGCCTGTTTTGGAAGGATGAGAGACATGGTACTGTTTCAAACACTTGAATGACTTGCAGACAGAGTCAGAAACCTCTGATCAACCGCTGGAAGTTTTATAGCAATTCAGAGCTATTTCCAATGTTTCTAATAGAACAATTCAAAAATGAAGATGGTGATTCTTTACCTCTTAAAGCACTGAGAGCTGAAAAAAAAAATCACATGTCCAGGTTTTCAAATTTAGAGGGAATTTCTACTCCAGATTGGAAACTGTATTAGATTTCAAGGTTAATTTCAAATTTGAAGTCTATGATTTAGAAGACTTACCTTTTGATAAATGTATAATAGTATCATTCTATGATTAAATTTGTTATTTTGTTATTAAATTTGACTAAGCATCAGTCATCAAATATAATTTATAAACATAATTTTTTAGAGTTCAAAATTAAATAATATCAATGGAAATCACTATCTTTGGTTGTATAAATACATTTCCATGAAGATAAAAACAAAGCTCAGAGAAACTGGCTTTTAGTTTTTATTCACTATAAGACAAACATGCATCTATGGTAAGTATAAGGGAAAATCCCAGTCAATATTTCACTATAAATGTCAGCACCATTTACCGACTTTTCCTGAGTGATTAAAAGAAAAAAAAAATCCCCTTTAACCAAAATACTCCTCAAATTAAACAATTTGAAGTCTCAGGTCCTATTGAAAAATCTTGAGTATGCACAACCATTGAAATCAGATATCTAAATTGCTAACTAAATTAGAGGAAGAAGCAATTAGTCCATATAAGGAAAATGATTGAAATCAAAATGTATAAATAGAATGCAAAAATCTTTGGTCATGCACTCCTGTGCAGGAAATCACTGAGCTAACAATTTATCAAACGCCACAGTCCTTGATAAATAGTCGCATTCTAAAGTAGGACTTCATAAAGAGGACTTCGTGGAGTAAAGTTGTTTCTTAGACATAAATCTGGTTTCCTATAAATTTCAGCCCTTGTGTTTAGGAGTTCCTCCAGAGCTGCCCTCTGGAAAAAACATTTGGGATATTACACTTCAATTCTAAATATAGATAATTTCCAGAATACTAGATCCAATTAAAATCTCAAAGTAATATTATACATTTAACTATTTATTCATTACATCACAGTATTTTTTGCTTTCAAATATCAAAATATAAACAAATGCATTTCTCTGTGCAATTCTGATTTTCAAGTGATGTACCTTGAGCTAAGCACACTCAATACATATTCAGCTGTTCCTCTTAGAAAATGGAATCATATTGCAGTATAAAGTCACTCTCAGATAATCTAACTTCCAACGGTAGCATGTAAGAACTCTCTCTTTTCCAGTATCAGGGTTGAATATTATGGAAATTCAGTTAATTTTGATTATGCAAATATTCTTCATATTATTTATCTCAAAGGCTGCAGATGAACAAAAGTTACATTAGATTTTAGCCCAAATCCAGAGGTCACTCTAGGAATATTTATTGAATTTTATCTCATACGTTAATCTTTTTATACTTATTGACATATACCTTTAAATTTTAAAGATAGCACAATATTCAAATAATTTTTCATGCATAACATAAATGTAGTCTAACAGACAAACAATAATGAATTTAGAAATGTTATGCAGAATTTCTCCACAGGAATGACAACAATCTGGAAAATGAGCACAATTGTCTCTTATGCTGTAGCATTGGCTGAAAGATAAAATGAAAGGAAGAAAGAATTTGAAAATAATGACTAAGGGAAGAGTTCATAAAAGAATGTTATTTTTTCTTACCTAAATTTACAAACAGAAAAGATGGCCCCTTCTGGAGGTACTGTTAATAGACTTGAGGGATTGCTGAGATTTGCATGTCAGAAATCCAGAATGATGAGATCAGAATGATACATTTTGTTCTTAGTGAAGCTATGATTGGCAAGACTAGAGCATATACCCAGCACTAAACCTGTGTAGATGGATTCCTTGAGGAATCTAAAGACAGAATCATTTTTAAGGCATATAGATCAAATGAAAGTACAACGACAACAAGATTCAATTAGAAGATCAGTTAGTGGTGCAAAGCCCACAGGCAATGAGAAAAAATAGTGAATACAGGAAGAGTTTGGGGTCTTATAACTAGACATAGTATTTTCTTCACAGTGATAATTGAAGAAGAGCTGAAAGGTGTGCTATAAAGGAATGACAATGCATGAAAATGATCAAGAAATAACCCACAGCCCCTGTAGCAACTAAGGCAGAAAATCTGCATTAGAAAAAGGTAAAAAACAAAATTCATGGGGAACTACCTACATTTTGATAAGAAGGATATTTCTAGAAACATTACCATAAAGCAATGGCCAATGAGAAGAATGGTAGAAATCAAGATGATAAAATAATGAAACAGTATCAGAAAAGGATTTGGTTTTGCTTTAGTTCTCCTTTCTGGAAGCGATGAACAATTCCTAAAGTCAGTGATGACAACAATATTTAAACATACTCTATTAATATATGCTTAAATTAATGGTTCAGTAAATCCAAATATAGGTCACTTACTGTTATAGTCTTTCTCAAATAATGTGTTTTCAAAGGCACACAAATATAGAGAAGCCTCCATTAAATTTTCTTTCTTAAACACACACCTAGAGGAAAGGGCAGAGCCAACTAATCATGTGCTTAGATAGGAAGGCCACCAATTCTATAGAATTCTCTTTATGTAACTGTCACCTCATTGGAGACAGTCCCTGTTTGTACTCTAAATTCTCTTTGATATTGAAAAATATATTTGAAACTTATTTTCATAATTTTTTGTGGTAGAATAAAAGAAACTTCTTTTAAATACATTTCCACTTTATATTTACTACAGATTAAAAGTTACTACTAAGTATATGAAACTACATGTGATTCCAGAGAAATACAATCTACACATTACCTGAGATATAAACCAGGAATCTTAAAATGTAAAATGTCTTTTATACTGAGTAAAAAAACATTTCCTTGCAAGACAGAACCATCTATTGAAAACAAGACCAATATTCTTTTTACTTGAGTTGAAAATTAAACACTTAAACAGGTAGTGAATACTATTATCAATACCAAAAAGCTTAGTCATCTTTTTAAATTAGAAATTAATTTACTATGAGTAATTTACCGAAGGAGTAAACCAGAATAGTGCTTTAAAGGTTGTATATGTTATTGCAGAAAACTGATATGGTGACAAATAAATCCTAAAATTTCTTACTGTAGCTGAAATTTGAAAAAAGTTTAAGAAATGGAATGATAAGATCCACTTATCTAGAGGTCAAATTTTCTATATCTTCAATTATGTTGGAACCTGACATTGATACAGAAAAAAAATATTTTAAGACTACCATCCTAGAATCTAAGAATATCACTACATGTGTTACATGTTAAGATAAACTCAGTCTAGGTATAACTTAGAACCACTAATAAGGAGTGTTAATTTACTAATGAGCCAAAAAATATGATGAAAGGTATACTGCTAAAGAATTTAAACTGACAACAAAAATAATCAGTTTTAAAAGATTTAAGTAACTGTCAATAGCATGGTATTCTATATTGGTACAAAATGATTTTATTAAGCTGAATTACTAAAAAAAAACTAATGTAGGTTTACTGTTTAGAATGATGGGGAAATATGTTTCATTTTAGAAAAATTCTGGCAAAAAAAAAAAGGTAAAAGAAAGAAATGTTTAAAAAAGTTAACCTAAGATCAGAAAGAACAGGAATTCAATAACTCTTAGGCTGACAGTATCAAGCAAGGATTCTCACCTACTTATACTTTCTTTCACGTCCCATAATGTAGTGTGTATAATTCATTTTTACTACCTCAAGAGATTTACCCATCTACATAGTACAAATCTGTGAACTTTGTTTTAACTAATCTTTCATAGGAGAAGTACTTAAAAAAAATCAAAGTATCAAAGCCTATGACTTTTACTTACATATGAAAATACTAAGTATTCTGTATTCTCCAAGATTAAATTACATTCAACATAATTTTTGGTAAATGTATTGTGTATTATAAATTTCTGGGAACTGTATATTCATAGCTAGCATACATACATAGTAGTCCTGTAATAGAAGGAACATTTTATTTTAGTAAGATGTAAAGACCTTTCTACCAATCATTATGGCAAACAGATTTACCATGTTACAAGAATGGAGTAGTTTTAGAATGTCCAAGCACATACTTCTTTTAGAAATGATTAGAAAACCATGGGTCCCTGTATTTATTGAACTGAATCACCTGGCAGTAAAATTCAGTTAAGGCTCTTGGCATTGGTGAAACTTCTTCCCACTCTGACCTGCTGCTGTGGTAGACTTGTACTTCATCTGTGATTTCATCTGGTGCATAATCACCACCTAATATATAAATCTTATCTTCAATTCCAATTGCACCTGCATTAAAACCTGCACATTCAAAAGACCCTTCACCCTTCCAAACACAAGTATCTGGACAAAAACTATAAACCTTATAGGTGGAAAGGTCACATATATACAGTGTGCAATTTACAGGGACAGCTTTAATTAGTGTAGCATGAAAAAATTGCCCAAACTCTGCTACTAGTTCAGACCACTGATCAGTTGTAGCATTATATTTAAAAAAGCAATCAAGTGATGGGTTGAAGGCATCTGTAATTTCTACCTCTGATCCAAGAACATAAATTACATTTTGGCATGCACTTGCTTCTGGATAATATATGCCTCTAGGTAATGGGCTAACAGATATCCATTCTTTAGAAAGAGGATCGTATGACTCAACATCTAGGAGACTTTTAATGTCCTGAGATCCCCTAGTCTTTCCACCTATGACAAATAATCTGTTGAGAGCCATAACTGATGTATGCATGGTTCTTGGTGTTTTCATATTTGATACCAAGAAGAAATCATTTTTGACTGGGCAGTAGCACCAGGTTTGATCGGTGGCATCATGGTAAGACTCAGCAATATGAAGTCGAACCTTTCTACAACACTTCCCTTTGCAACCACCAGTCAAGAATATTTTCTCTCCATAGCTAGACAGACTAGACCCTGGCAAATCAATCAGGTGTGATTGGGGTAATATTTTCCATGAGTCAGTTTTAATATTATAGCAAAATGTATATTGATTTTCTCCATTTTCTTCAGTTTTATGAATAAATATGTATTTTTCAGTTGTGGATGGTCGAGCATCAGGGAAAAGTCCACTAGAACCTTGTACACATTTAATTGCATCCACGATTATGTCAAAACAGTTTGTGCTTTTGAGTAAACACTCTTCATTGAGAAGACAGTCTTGAAGTGTGTCCTCGGATAACTGATGTAATCTTACTTTCTTAATCAAATGAGGCAGATGCTTTTGCCTTGATTCTAAGTTATGTTTTGTCCAATTAAGGACGACCTTCAGTACTGTTTCTTCTTCAGGAACATTTAATTCATCTGATTCCAGACATTTTTGCAGTATTCCAAAATTCATCTCTAAGAAATCATTGGATTTAAATAACAGAGAAAAGTGATGTTGTACAAAGTATAATGCATGATCAAACAAACGGGTTGAACCATAGCTATCTGATATAGATAATAAATGTAAACAATTGACGAGATTAATGCTTTTTATTAAAAAGTCACTGCAAGCTTTGGATAGGAAGGAAACTTGAAGAAATGATGACAACTGGAAGAACATTTCCACATTATCATCTGTAATTTTTGTCTTTCCAGTATAGGCATAATCAAGAAATGCTTTTACTGCTTTGGAGGACAAATTAGTAATGGTAACACTTCCATCATCTCTTTCTTTCATGTTTACTTCAAACATAGCCCTGCAAAAATAAAGAACACAAAAGAACAAGTAAACAGGAATATTTTGCTCTGTAATTTTCAATATACCCGAAGGAGGTTTCCTTTATACTTACGGTGATTTAAAATACATTTATGAAATCATACTTGATAGCATTCTAATGAATGCTAAAACTAAGAATACAACTTAGGAAAAAGGAGAATGATAAGCTACTTCCTACATCAATACTTCTTAATATGAAACTACTAGCTACTCAATACTTCTTAATATGAAACCAAATGAAAATAGTGATAAAAGTTAGTATATCCATATTACATATTATGGAGGAGTTTTAAATAATGTATATTAATTGAAAGATATTAATCTATAATGATAATTATATTAATTATTAAAATCTCTATAATTACTTTAGGGTAAAATTAAGAGCATGGCCTCTAGAGCCAGCTGCCTGAGTAGGTTTTCTAGCCTCTGCCACTTATTAATTGTACGACCCTGGGGAGGTGACAACTTTCCTCTACTTCAAATTCTTCATCTGAAGATGGGGATACTGATACTATCTACTTCATTGGGTTTTTGAGAGGAATAAGTTAATCAATTCAAAGTATTAGCTATTAGTGTTATCATTTAAAGAAAGCAAATGCTTTTTCTATAAGATTGAATGTATTTTTGATTTACTACCAGTTTCCACATTTCTTTTCATAAGACAGAAGTAAGATCATATTTCTATACTTTATTTACTCATATTTAAAGTATCTGGCCAACATTTATCTTATATTTATCCTGTTTTCATAAAGTGGTTACTATAAAATGTGTGAATTCTTTTCAATTTCTTATTCCAAATGACTTTACATGTTAATCATAATTTCCTTTGTCCAAAAACATAATCAAGGGTATTTATCATGCATTATGCACATTTTTTGACATTTTAATATTATATTTTCCTTCCAACATTGCAGTGAGTACATTTGATCATAATGTACAATTATGAATTGGTAGCTTTTTTTTACAAGAGTATAAATGATCAAATTTCTATCTATATTTTTTAATGAAAACTATATTAAATATTCATTTAATAAAAGGATCTGTCATTTGTGTTATTTAAAACAGGCAGAAAATTAGAAACCTATATTAGTCTAATAGTAATTTTAAAAATGAAAAGGAGTCCTATAAAAAATAAGGTGTAAGCTAAAAAAAGTACTATGGACATAAACATTTAATTAAAAAATAATGTCAACAAGAAGAGTAGAGGACTGAAATTCAAATGCTTACATAAACCTCTTACTTTATTTGGATGAAAATATAGGGAAATCAAGCTGTATGTCCAAATCAGATTATTTCCATTTTTGCTAGGTTTAGAAATAATAATCATATCAGCTAATATTAGTTAAATATAGTGGGTACTCTGATGATTATTATACATTATTTCAGTTAACCCTTATAATGATCCTATGAGTTAGGTCCTATTTTTATTACCCTAATTTCTGACAAATGAGGAAACTTACACCTGAAGAGATTACCTAATTTGCCTAAGGTCACATGTCTAACAAATGGCAGAACTGGGATTTATATTAGGGCATATGTATTAAGAGACCAAGTATTTAATCATTATACTATACAGTTTCCTTTAAATAAGAGGTGATATGAAGGATAAAGGAGCAGAAGAGTTACATGGAAGAAAAGCTGGATTAGAAGAGAGGAGGGAAGACACTGGTGGAACCCAAGAGTGGCAGGATATAAGAACACTTAAAGCCACAATGGAGTTCAAGGAATAACTCAGAATACCAAAAGCGAGAAATGAGAGGAATAGATCAAGACTTATAATTAGGCAAACGGCTAGTTCAATAACTGTAGCTTCCTGGTCCCCAGTAAACAGTGCAGCACTAAGCCACAGTTCCCAAATTCAAAGTAAAAAACCCTACAGAGTGTTTATCAAGTAGCAGACATCAAAAAATGTTTGCTAAATGTCCACCTAAGATTTACTCTGAAGAAAATAAGGGTGAGATCTTATTAGAAAATTGGGGTTAAATTAAGATTCAAATAGTATAAATTCCATGCTGTTTTGGTATTTTAAATTTTATTTTGTTTTTATAAAATGTATTTATTAGGGATTTAAACACTATGTACTTAGCTTCCAAAATTGAGCGTAATGAACAACACTGCAATTAGGATTTTAAGTTATTGCAGTGTAACCAGGAAGGCTGAAGGTTATGGTATTACCAAAATAGACTTGTCCATGAAGGCTCCACAGGACAGTATTACCTTGAGACAACTATCAGATAAGAGGGCAATGTGTCTGATCCTTAACCTTGTAGAATCAGCAACCCACTGTCATCACAGGATTCTTGTAATGTCATGGCTAGGAGAATCTGTAGGGTGACCTCACTGGAAACCAAATTACATTTATATTATATTTATAATCAGAACAATTTATGTACTACAGAGAAATGCTTTGCTAAGAATTACTTTTCCCTACTACAGGAATATCTTTGCCAAAGAGGGGAGAAATTTTTAAGTTCTCTGAGTTAGAGCCCCTTCCCTTAGGTACTACATGGATCAAATACACAACCAAAGTTTATTTTCCTAACTCATATTCTTTGAACTGTTTTCATGTTTGTTCAACTTATCATTTCATCTTTTTATACAATAATATAGTGCAGGGATCTCCTAAACAAAACTAACTTTATATGAAAAAAAAATTACTTCCCAGAACATTTCAAGAGACTAAGATTTCCTAGAACTTTGGGAAATATAGGCTTGGGAAGGCCCAAGTTTTGAAAAGGTAGTTTTAAGTTCTCCTGTTCAAAAATCACTTGTTAATCTTAGTTTTATCTAGTTTTTCTTTAAGAACTAAAAATTATTTTGCATATTCCTGTGCAAATAACTAAGGAGAAAAAAGTGAGCTAATCATATCATAAACTTCATTATCCATATCATAAAATTTGAGACATAGACAAGGTAAAGTACCTGAAAAAGTCACTACATGCTGCTAACACACAACGATGACATGGGATTATCTCATCTTTCATAATTATTTTGAAATCATAAAAGACATTTTGCTCTCTAAAATTCTGCAGTATACTTAAGATTTTCTGTCCATGATCTTCAGACACAAGGAAGTTGTTTTTCTTCTCAGATGGAATTCCATTACATGAGCTTCGTATGTTGAAATCATATGAATTATCCATAGCCAATTCCATCTGTATTTGGAACTAGAATGAAAAAAAAAATCACCAATGAAGTAGAGATCTAATGAAAATTTCAGACCTCAAAATCTACCTTCATAATGTCAATTTTACAAACATGCTAACAACAATCACACGATAGTAAATCTTGTTCTAAATATTTGCTTTCATAACATTTAATAATAAATTCCTGTTGAATTTTCATAAATGTTGAGCTCACTGGAATTAAACAATATATTATGAGGCATAACATTCTTGCTATACAATTGTGTTAAATACCAAACTTACACCTTGTAAAAATACATAGCTTATCTAGGATCTCACTTCATGACTAACCTTATTGTTACAATAAGCAGCATTATTTCTGTAGTAATAATTATTTGAGTATGTACCTAGCGCATCCCTCTTCCCTCCCATCCATTTTCTTCTGGTTGCAAAGTAGGCATTAAAATGTTAACCATTGGAGCATTGAAGGTTACTTTTACAAGATAATTAGTTTAAAAGATCAGAGTGGTTGATTGCACTAAACTAGTTATGACCTTTACTGAGGAAGACAAAGGCAAATATTGATCCAAGTTTACTTATTTGAAAGAAGGAAGGAAAAGAACATGTAACTTTATTTTAAAAAGACTTTCTAAACATGAGGTCAGCTATCCAAGAGAGTTGAAGGCCAGAAAATCATGAATTCCCCAAACTGTCATTTCAGCTCCCAGCATAAAATTTTTACCACCAAAAGCAAGGGATTGCAAAACAGAAGTGTTGTTTTGTTTTAGATAGAAGAAACTTGATCATGTTAATACACTGAGGACAAAGGTTAGGTATAGAGGGAAATTTTGACAATCACAACCATATAAATTCAGCATCTATATCCATGTAATGAAGCAGAATTTTTGGACCTTTAAACCCAAAAGCTGGAGAATAATACTACATGTAAAACTTCCATTTCTGTTAACAATAAACATTGATAGGCAAATGTATAGTTAGAGACTCTGAACTTTCATAGTTTATAGTGATATAACAAGATTGAAGGTACCAGGATTTATAGTAAGTAATTTATGTAATTATTATATTCAATGCTCATAATAATCTCCTTAGGTTGGTATTGGTAATGCCTTTTTTGAACAGATTGAGGCTCAGATTAAATAATATGCCTACGAACACAAAATTCATAGAAACATGTTTGTTTCACTCAAAGCCCATACTCTTCATGACCCTCAAATTCAACATCAAGTGAAAATATAGAAAGTAAATGTAGCATTCTTAAGATCCCATCATAATGAACTGGTTAAAAGTTTCATCAGTTTAAGATCAGTCTTGATAACGAGGACATATATGATAACAACAGATAACATCGGCTGAGCCAGTAAGTTGTGCCAGGCACTGGCCCACGGGTTTTACATGGTATTTAATTCTTATAATTATATTCCCTATACAAAAAAAACTTCTGCTCCCCCTGTTTTTCCTGCTAAGTACAACAACCTCCCTTGAACACACACATACACACTCAGAATTTCAAACATATGAAGACTACGAAAAAAGTGGAGAGAAGAAAACAGAGTGCCTAGTGAACATGGGACCTAAGGAGCAAGATGGTGGTGAGTTCCTTGTGTTTTTTTTTTTTTCCTAATATAATCTGGATACTGAAGAATTTTGGCGTGCACGCATGCGCATGCACACACACACACACACACACAGAAAGAGCCTCAAGAAAAACTTGTGGACCCAACATGGTGGCGGGCGGGGAGGCAGCACTTTCAGTACCTCCTCAATAACGGGGTTAGAGAGACGCATAAATATGTTCAGATTCTACCTGCTGAGAAACTTCTAGCAAAATTCTGCTGAAGTGAGACCTGCTGGTGAATTTATAAGATTATTGTAGGTGACAGTTTGCCCCAGATGAGTGAATCTCTGCTACGCGGCGCAGAGGTCCAGACCTGCCACCTGCCGCTGCTGCGCAGCGAACAGCAGATCAGCAGGTGTGGCGTAGGGACCCTATGAAGAGGTCTCTAAACAAGCCTTCATGAAACAGCGAACCTGGAACCGAAACCAACCGAGACTGGGTCAGACCAGAGACAGGCCAGACCCACCCCTCCCTTCGGAAACTCTGGCAAGGAGCCTGGGGCCCACCATAGCAGACAGGTGACGTCACCAGAATTCAGTGGACAGGATTCCTTCCCATGGGAATTGGCTTTAGCAGGTGTGTGATTCCCACCCTCACCAGATACATACAGCTGGGAAAACTCGATCCAGAGCTCCGTGGGCGCGACTGTAGGGGCCGAGGGAAACGGAGGAGACTCCCGACCCCCAACTCCCACTACCGCCAGCAGCGTGGGCGTGTCTGTAGGGGCCGAGGGAAGCAGAAGGGACTCCAGACCCCCAACTCCTCCTACCACCAGCAGCGTGGACGTGACTGTAGGGGCCGAGGGAAGCAGAGGGGATTCTCGATCCCCAACTCCCCTTACCATCAGCAGCGACACCCAAGGTCTTAGCCACCAGTTCCCGGGGGCGTGCCCACCAAAGGGGTCCGGAAAAATTAAACTGTCGGTTCCCAGATCACCGCTCCATAGAACTGGGGCTTGGATGAATAACAGAGAGAGTGCTCAGTTGTTCGGGAAATAGGGCATGCAGTGGGGCTGCAAGTGTAATCAGATCCTTGGCGAGCGCCTCCGGTGAGCGGGGGTCTAGCTGGCTGACAGGAGGAAGGGGGGAGGGGCAGGAGAAGAGAAACGGCTCTGGACTAACAGGATAGAGACACTCCCAGGAGCCGCCTTACAGGGATTGCTGTGGGCACATACAAGGCAGGAGCTCGGTGGGAGAGCACACCTCCGCCTACTGGAAGAGAAGAAAATGGCTCTCTAAGACTTCATTTTATTTTTATTTCTATTTTATTAGTTTTTTTTCTCTCCCCTTTTCCTTACTTCTTTCTTTCCCTTTTCAAGTTTTATTGCTCTTTCCATTCTCCTCTATTTTATCTACCTTTCTCTCCATCTTTCTTTTCAAGAGCTCCTTCCTTCCCCTTCCCCCCAACTTTCATCCCAAGCATTACGTCTTCCATTACGTGTAACTGTCTAAATGCAAATAGGTGATCGTTTTGAGGCTATCTATAGGGCTTCTAAATACCTAGCTATTACCAAACACCCTGATCCAATCACCTGTTAATATCCCCCTGCAATCTTCCAAAGTAGCCAAGACATACTAACCTTCATACCATCATAGCACCTAACCTAAACATAAAGTCCTAAGACCAAACAACAAATCACTATATGCATACAGAATCCGTAAGCCTTTTATGATTGAAGGAATCAGCTTTAAAGTACAATAAAGCCCAACATTTCTAGGCATAGTCTGCCACCACAAAGGAGACACCACAGAGACATACAAAACCAAAACAACTTTATAGGAGAAAATAGAAACACAGCAGTTACACAGAGTTGGAAAGTAACGTGAACACCATGAAAAAACAAGGGAAAAAAGGATTACAAACAATGCAGGACAACTTAAATTTACAGGAGAACCTAGAGGCATCAGAAAAATGGACAGAGAAAGAACTCAAGGCATACCTGACTCAGATGGAATGGAATCTTAGAGAAGTCATTAGACAGCAAGTCCAAACAATGAAAGAATACTTTGAAAACGAATTGCATAAGCAAATTCAAATAGCAAAGAATGAACTCTACCAGGAGATAGAGATTTAAAAAAAAAATCAAACCATAATCCTAGAAATGCAGGAAACCATAAACCAAATTAAAACCTCAAACGAGAATATTACAAATAGACTAGATCAAACAGAAGTCAGAACATCAGAAAATGAAGACAAAGTTTATCAACTCGAAAAGAATATAGTCAACGCAGAAAGGATGTTAAGAAATCACGAGCAATCCATCCAAGAGATATGGGATGTCATAAAAAAACCAAACTTGAGAGTCATTGGGTTAGAAGAAGGTATAGAGGTTCAAACCAAAGGAATGAACAATCTATTGAATGAAATAATCTTAGAAAACTTCCCAGATATGAAAGATGGAATGGATTGCCAAATCCTGGAAGCCTATAGGACCCCAAACATTCAAAACCGTAATAGACCAACTCCAGGAAACATAATTATGAAGATATCCAACATACAGAACAAGGAGAAAATATTAAAAGCTACGAGAGAATGGAGGCAGATTACATTCAGGGGTAAACCAATTAGGTTAACGGCTGATTTTTTATCACAGACGTTGAAAGCGAGAAGATCCTGGAACAACGTATTTCAAACGCTGAAAAATAATGGATTCCAACCAAGAATACTGTATCCAGCAAAATTAAGCTTTAGATTTGAAAATGAAATTAAAATATTTCACAATAAACAAAAGTTAAAAGAATTCGCAGCCAGAAAACCAGCACTGCAAGGCATTTTGAGCAAAACACTACAAGAAGAGGAATTGAAAAACAGCACCCAAAACAAACTGTGGGAGGTAACTCAATAAAGGGGGGAAAAATAACCAAAGAGGAAAAACTAGCCAAATTAAAATAAATAAATAGAGACTGAAGATGGCGGCGAGGGGAGTGCATTGCCCCTGTGTGCCGCGTCACTGTGTGGGAGAATGACGAGTCAGGACTGCTAAAGGCTATCTTGTTAGGAATTTCCAGCAATACTGGGGTGCTCCGGAACCTGGAGGAAGGATTTCCATCGCACGAGGATCGGCTGCGGGGACTCAAACGCGAGAGACTTGTCGCACGGAGGGTAACACTGCTTATTCAGCAAATGGCCCCGCGGCTAGAGTCTGCAGCACGTGCTGGGAAACGAGGAGATAGCGACGCAGGGATACAGCGCTGCAGTTTCTGCCAGCCGTGCAAGCACCGTACTCAGTGCTGAATTCTGGGTTTGAGACGGGGGAAGGAAGCGGTCCAATTCGGTTCTCCACACCGGTCAGATCACAGAGGAGGCCAGCGGCCACCATCTTGGAGAGCTGACGTCACCATCCCTGTTTTCAACTGACCGCAGCTCATTCAGCCATAGAACAGGTAATTTCACGCTGCCATTCGCC